CCTAGTAATATGGTCAAATCTGGGAGACGTAACAAGATAAAGTTGTTTCATGATGTTTTTCAAAGTAAAGCTTCCTTCTAAAGTTGCAACCGTGAAAATCCATGTATTTCCTTTTAAAGGTTTTTTTTTTTTACCTCCTTAATAGTAGATTTAGGTTGCAGATTTTAGCATCAACTGCATGTTTTTTTCTGACTATCCAGTGGTGGAATAGAAATAATACCCAAAAGCAGCACGAACTTGGCATGTCTCCAGTGAAGACTTCTCAAAGAACTTGTAGGTCAACTCCCCATGATGTTCAAAGATGGGATCTAGCCCTGTTCTGTACCATGTATGGGATGTAGCCCATTCTGACTGGATGTAGACTTGCTCCATCCTATCTACTGTAATCAAAAAGCCCATCGCATCCCAAATATGAAGAACATGGGATCAACAATGCCATAGCTCTTGCTTGCAAGAACTCATATGGCATGCATACCTGTGGGCATGAGAGCAGCTGGACACATGGCTTTTCCCTCTAGAAAGTTAGGGGTCTCGGCAGAGAATGTTGTAAGAGGGTCATACTGGCGCAATGACAGAGGAAAAGTAGACATGACCTATAGATGGCCACCTGAAACAAGCAGTGATCCCAATGCCTACTCTTAAGCATCCCATTCCTGCTCTGTAGAGTGGTGGCCTTAGTGTGGCTCTATTTTTTCTATGTCTTGTTTGGGGAAGGGGTTTATGCCACCAACTGCGCGCGTGGCCCTTACCTGCCACAAAATGTCCACGACTATTGCTAACCTGCTCTACTACACATTTCACAACATGCTTTATGAAACAACCAGGCTGAGAGTTCCAAAGCCACCAAGGGGATCTAGATGCACTTGTCCCATTCATTTCAATGACACTGTGTGCCTAAATACTCCAGGAAGCTTTTGAAATCTCAGCCCAAATCTTTACATCATTTTAGAACTTGACCTGCAGGGTCACAGGATTTTCCATCTCCATTCAGTTTATAGCCAACTGCACAGGAGCAAACAACTTTGCGGGGTGGATCATTGGTGCAAAAATGCTTGCATCCTCCGTTCTTAGTAGCACAGGTTGAATCTGAAAGAAATTAAACCAAACCCATTAGACACTTTAAAAGGGCAATAAATGCAAAGCTGAAAATGACATAGATTAAGGAGCATGTTGCTGAGCTGTTTACTTAGGACCTAGTTTGGGAGTAATGGGTGGTTAACCCTTCTCAAGATCAGGCCTTTAGACTCCAGCATATAAACAACCCAAACTGTTGCATGGCAGAAGCAAATTTGCATCTTCCCTTCTTCCAATGAAAGCACTGATCAGGATACGCTACAGTCAGAAATTTTGCCTGGTGTGTGTTAAGGGAACCGGAGTTAAGAAACCCATTTAATCTGAAAGCATGGCTAAATCCCTTTGTCTGCCTTGAAAATCTCAACCAGCGTCTCTAACCCATGCACTTCTCCAAGGAATACATGTACAGCTTATGTGAGACCAAGAGGTTAAAGGTATAGTCAAGGTCCAGACCCTAGAGAAAATAATACAAATAATAATAATTAATAAGTAAATAAAAAGATTTCGGGGTCAGTTTAATAGCATCTGGCAGTCCGGATTTGGCCGGCGGTCCACCTATTGACTACCCCGAGTTAAAGCCAATCTCCCCAAAACGGCAAATGTCTGAGCTAGAACTGGATGAAACTGGTGGGAAAATGTATTGTGGAAAGTCATGGGGAAGTGGTAGCATCTGTGGGTCCCCTCATTTCTCTCTCTGCTGGAGAGTGTTTTGGCTGGTGGACTCCGGTCTCATTGCTGATCCACTGAACCTGAGGCCTGCCCTGCACCGCCTAGCCTCCTGGCAAGCTATCAAGGAGACTGGTTTCCGAGACCTGCTTTGCAGTAGGGAGAGGGAGCAGAGTCCGCTAGGGCAGCCTCCTTGTGGGCTACAACAGCACCAGTTCTGACACCAACGACGTCCGAGAGATTGAGGCCACTCAGCGTTTCGGAGCTCTCTGGGACTTGGCAGATCCACTTGGAAGGGTTTGTACAAATATTTGTACAATATCCCGTGGATTCCCCACCACGCTCCTCCTCCCCCTCTGTCTTCAGTTTGGATTCAGGTGACCAGATGCCAGGTCGAAGGGCGCAGTGTAAACCTTGGGATAGACCTCTGATTTCGGATTGGTGTGAACCCAGAAAGTCAGTTTAAACTGCCAGGTTTTGCATCATAAATGAAGAAAAACCACAGATTTTCCATGACACAAACCATAAATCCTCCCTTATCGAGCCCAGCTTTTGACGAAACTGAGCTTGGAGCCTATAATGTGTAATGCTGATGCCTCTGGGTGGGTCCTTGGCAGTGGATCTTGTTGCACGTGTCTCTACTGTCTAAGCAAAAAGACTCAGCCCCCAGCTTCAGCCACTGACACCACACTAGGGGTGTCAGTGTTACAGACGGTGGCCTGGATAGGAAATTGAACTGGGAAGCCTCTGGAGCTCGGGATACACTTCCCCAGCCAGGGGGAATATGTAGGACATGACAACTTGATGTGAAGTTCTGTTTCCCCTCTAGTGGAGGCTTGGCCGAATGGAGATGGATGAGCCTGCTACAGAGGTAGCTAAGAGAGTGGAGTCTTTTAGCTTAGGCAATAGAGGCGCATGCATTAAGATCCAGAGGTCCCAAGTTCGATCCCCACTGCTGACGACCAACCCAGGGGCATTCACGTTACACTCACATTTTCTTGTGAACATTTTTGATGCACGCTCCCCTTTGCTTTTCTCTGTCTTTCGGGAATCTCATCTTCCCGGTGTCGAAAGTGACTAGTCAATAGACTTGCTTGTAATTCTCAGTGAGTTCTCAAATAACTTCACAGTAGATTAACTTCCCTCCCACTCCTCAAGGACACATCCATTCCTATCGTCATGCTTACGTGATCGTTTACTATTTTTATAAAGTCACTTCATTTCTATTGCTATTTTAGTCCCAGTCTGCCATCCACAAGAAGACTGCAGTGGCTTGAGACCATTTTATATTTGCTGCAAATTTAAAACACTCTTCCAGACCCGCACCTCTTCCTTGCCAGAGTGAAAACACAAGTAGAAAGAGAATCTCTTCTCAGTGCTCGTTCATTACACTGGCTATACTGGATCAGAGGATGGGCAGAAACAATGAGACAGAGAGATCCTAGCTCCTAAAACCATTAATGATTCTATTTTCATAATCTCCTGAGCCCTTCAGGAGAGTATTGGCATTTTGTTTGTCTTTGGACTCATAGGGTGTGTGTGTAGTTGATCATTGCTCATTGTCAAACAGGGCCCCCTGTGTGCTGTGCATGAAACTGTTGGGCAATACTCAACCCCCCAGCACCGTAGCTCGGATCCTGCTCCCACTGAAGTCAATGGGAAAACTCCAGTTTGATTTCTATGGATTTTGGATCAGGCCCCATTCCTCTCTATCTCCCCAGGAAGTTGAATGGAACCAGGGGGTGAAATCCTGGCCTCATTAAAGTCAATGAAAAAATCTTGTATTCTCTGTTAGGCTCAGGATTTCACCCATGGAGTTAAATAGCCCTGACTACTATAATCCATACAGGAAGGGCTTCTAATAGGGAGAGAAAGGAGGTTCCTGATTAAATATTTCCATTGGCAGACATGACATTACTGAGCAGGCTGTGAATCTGATTCTCATTTATAATATGTGATGGCTGCCACCTTGGCTAACACCAGGGTTTGAACCAGGGAACACCATAGCGAGAAGTAGAAGTTGCTTTAGCATGAGCTAAATAACTAATCCTTACTAGCGGGGTTGGGAGGGTAGCATCTCCTCTGTGGATTGGGTCCCGTAGGAGAGACCTGTAACACACTCACCAAGGGGTTACACCTGAGTGTTGTGTGGTCACTTACAGCAGTGCAAAGTGGTTATAAAACCACCCAATGAGAATGGAAATTATTCCCATCCACTTTGCCCAGGTCTAAGGGACTACGTATGGTGCAGGGCAGCAGAGAATCTGCCCTCTTGGTACATACCTAGCTCACAGTTCCTTCCTTCATACCCTGCCGGGCACCAACACACGTAGGAACCGACGTCATCTGCACAACGGGCTCCATTTTTACACGGATTTGGATTGCACTGGTCTCCATCTTGGAAATGAAAACAAGATCAGCTAATTAGCAGACAAGGGTATTCAACTTTTGCTACTCCACAGTGAGTGTTCCCCCACCCTACCAGGCTCAGGATAAAGAATGTTAAGTTAAGCTTGGACCTGAAAACTTCTTTTTAAGGGAAAAGTTAGATTCTGGAAAATAATTGCATAACAAATTGACAAAGCAGCAATCCCGTGGTGACCTCTGCAGCTGCATTATGCACAAAGGCCTGATTATGGCATCAAACCTGACCTCACTACAGTCTTTGGTGTGTTAATTCCCCTGACTTCAGTTGTGCTCTGCCCAATTCTCACTAGTGTGAGATCAGAGTCTGGTCCTATGTCTCATCTAGCTTAGAAAGCTGGAGCTAGGAGGTGGATTTCCTTGAGAACACGCAGAGCCAGCTGTCTCCAAATTAGGGGTTTTTTTAAGTTCTCATCTTTCCTTGGGGAAGACTGTGGCATGGCCACCTGGTTTTGAGCCTTTACCGTAAGACCCTGAACTTTAGGGCTCAAGCTTTTCTCCTTTTCTGTGAGGGCTAGAAACAGACTTCTTAAAAGAAATGAAAGCCGAGATCCTCATGTATTCCTGTGAATCCAGCTCTAAGAAAAACACCAATTATCAGAAAATTTGCAATAAAACCCGGGGACTTGGCAATTGGATTCGTGATGCTGAATCTTAAGGAAATAAACTCTTAAAAGACAGAGCAAAGCCGAAGGAGAAGGAGAAATGCAGAGTGCCATGATGCATTCATGTTACACCAGGAAATTCAGCTGTTAATGCTTCTTCCTCCTCTCTCTCCTTCCCCCTCGTTCCAATGCAAACAGGGGGCAAAATATAACAAAGTACAGAATGTCCAGCTTGCAGGCCAGGGATTGGGTCTTTTGTCTCCCGGTGGCTTGTGCAGCCACTTATACTGGTGCAAGTCAGTGTAAAACTCCACCTCAACGGCATGGTGGAGTTTTACACCCACTTGTCACTTACAGCAGTGCAGACACAAAGCACAGGGCAGCAGAGAATTAGGACTCAAGCCTTGGAAACTGCCCAAAGGTTGCTTGTGTGGTGCAGAAGATGGCCACTTAGGGCCAAATTCACCGCTGTGCAGAGTATTAGGCCTGTGCATGACTTAAGCTCTCAAATAGGGTTTAAGTGGTGCCTGGGTCTTGAGCTGCGTCTCTGCATGGGAGTGAATTTCACTCATGCAGCACAGATGTTGGTACTAGCAGCTCGTGAGCTGGACAAGTAAAACATGCACAGTGATAAAAAAGGAGACGGTAAGATTGTTTTTGTTTTTTTGCAAGGGGGGGTCATTAGTTTCAACCATAGAAAAACAAAATACAGTATCTCAGTTTCGTGGCGATTGTTTTTTCAGAGGACAGTTTTAAAAGGCAAATGTAACTTTTTTATTGTATAGGTTGGACTGACTCATGTGAGTTATTTAAGAGTGGCAATGTTCTGTGTGCTCAGCCAATCTACGAAGCTGAAACATCCTTAGTTTCATATGTTTAGTGTTCATTGAATATTTTTTGTGTGGGGGGTAGTTGAGGTTAGGGACCAAGGAGTGAAGAGACAGATTGTAAGTGTGAAGCAGAGCTGGACAAGAGATGCAAAACAAGTGTTTGTGGGCACTGGTTTGAATTCCAAACAGCGATCAGCTTTGGCCACATTTATAGCTCTCTTTAATACACTATTTCCAAGCAAACGTGATGTGCTCACACACGTGTTTACAGAGGGGCCATTCATAGGAAGAGCCATATTTGCATGTGAACAGGGCATTTGCTACTGGCCATTTGTCTCAAACCTTAACGTTTCATTTTTCCATAGGAGCTGAAACATTCTACATGGTTTACACCAATCACACATCACAAACTGCAAGTGGTCGAGGTGAACTCATACAGTGAAACTTGTTCACACAAGCTGTTTGAACAAATGCAAATAATGAATAGACTCGTAAAAACCAACACTGTGAATTATCTGCAAACAGAACAGGGGAAAGAACTAAATTGGGGGGATATATTATTCATCATGCATAACTTTGACCAGCACTACTGTAGAACCTATTCCATTAAATGGGAAATATTCTTTCAATGAATACCTGTACCTCCCATTACTTATAGGCATGTACTGAAAGGTGAATACAGGATGACCTTATGGTTTTTATGTATGTGAAATGTGGAGGAAGCAAATCTCTTACCAATATACCCTTTCCAAAACTCCATCTACAAAACAAACAAACAATAAAATGAATAATTTCTCTTGATATTTAAGTTGAAAATTAAATTACAGAACTAGCAAGAAGTAAAGCCCCCAAAACTTTAGGGAAAGGATCCAAATAGAAAGTTTTTAGGGTTAAAATCCCTTTCATGAAGTGGGTCAGCACAGGCATAAGTGCTTATGCGAGACTCACATGAACATAGGTGCTCTGCTGGTCCATTGCACAGGCTGAATTGCACCCTTTGGGAAAAGAGGCTTTTTCCATGATTGTCTCCCTCCTATCTTGCCCCCAGTAGGTTTATAATGGTAGGGCCGGGGTCATTCTGCCATAACAACACTCACTGTTTTTTCCGTGTTTTCAAAGACTTCTCGCGCTTCTTCAAAACTGCATTTTTCTTCCTTACATTCTCTCTCGAGGTTCCCTGGAACAAACTCTTCCAGTCGATTTGAATTATACCTCTTCAGCCTGCGCAAAATCGAGCTTGCTTGTTCATTTTTGATAAAAACTGTAATTAAGAAAAACCATAGACGATAGTTACAGGATGGTACAGTCCCCTTAACGTTTTAACTGTCATGTTTAAGTGCTGTGTTCTCAAACACCAGGCTTTCCGTCCCTGGGTTTTCACCACCTAGACACCATGGTTATGGCCATATTGCACACGCATAGTAAAATTCTAATATAGCGTATTCCCTTTCCTGTATACGGAGGGTAGCTGTATAATATAACTGTGTCCAGCTGTAATGGTATGACTATATCAGTAAAAAACCCACACCCATAACCAAAATAGTTAGGCCGGTACAAAACCTTTGTGTAGACCAAGCCTGAAAATGCTTGTTGAGGTGAATTTCATCCCAGTGCAGAGAGGCTAAAGGCTTAAGTGAGAGGTAGGTACCGCACAAGAGGCCCTCTGCAGAGGGGTGAATTTTGTCCTAGAAGAAAATCAAAAGGAGAGGGTTACTATTTGTTTTCACTTTTAAAACATTGTTTACATTTTTTCCAGAACTAACACCTCTTAAAGTTATTGCTCTGCTTACTCTTTGCTGAACCAGATCCCAATAACTCATCCTGTAGGGCTACCACAAGGCAGATAAATTCTCCATTGAAGACTTTATGAATAGCCGCCTTGTGGGGGCACTATTTTATCATGGTTTCAATGTTCCTGACTAATTTCTCCAGTGTTCTAGGCACCAGTTGGTGCTTTGTTTCACCTCACACCGCAAGCACTGTCTTGAGTGTGAGCAGATCTGCTTATTAAAACAGAGAAAGTTCTTGGTCATCTACTTGGTCAGCCAAATTTTCAAGGCCCTTTCTTATGACTAACAGGCTTACAGTGAAAGACATCAAAGCCTCTCATGGTCACTAGATGGCGCTGTCAGTTCTGCTTGGGGTTAAAGTTGGTCATTAAGTTTGTGAAACAATATTATATAGCTTCTTGTTCATATAAGGTTTATACTGTAACAGATTTCCCAGAGAATGGGAGTAAATTTCATTGGCCACTTGAGACTTGGTGAGAGAGAGAAGAAACTCATCATGATGACTAGAAAGGGAACTTGTGAGGACTGGTAACAGCCAGACAGAATCTCTATTTGCTTTTAGAAGGCTAGTTTCTGCTCTCACTTAGTGCCCAATTAAACGCTCCTTGAAGTCATCCGAGAAACACCCCCTGACTTCAGTAAAACCCTTATTCCAGATTTATACTTTGACTCCATTTGAGTTCATTGGAATTACCATCCTCACTTACCCCCTGTAACTGAAGGCAGGAATTGGCCCTTCTGCTGGAGCTCTATCTGCAAGTGATTATTCTGACTGCCAACTGTTTTTATAACAGTTTAAACGACTGCAAAACAAGTCTACAGTTCTGTATTCTTTGTGCTGACACTTGCTTTCAATTAGCTATGAGAATTAAAATCTTGATCTTAACAGTACTACCTTGCCCTAGGTCTTAATGGAGTAAACAATTCTATTCTCCCGGAAAGCAGGTGTGGTAGAGACTTGTGACTATTAATACAAATTGTCCGATGGCAATAGCTTGGTTTGTGTTTAGGGGAGGGATCCAAAATTGATTTCCCTCCTCTTCCTTGAAGTTTTGACCATTGACCAGTTCACACTTAAAATGCAAAGGCGATCACTGTCAACGGATCGCCCGGAGCAGCATCAGTATGAGTAAAGATGGTTCTACCTGCCACCGTACCCTTTGCAAACAATCCGCCCCTTTGGGGGGTGACTGTGCTTCTGGGGCCTGCCATTTTGCATTTGAACTGTGCAAAGGGTCCAGTCCAGTGCAGTCCAAGACATGTTCAGCTCCAGGGGCTCAGAGACATGCTGCTTTTTTCCACAATTAGTCTCAAGACTAATTACACAAAAACTAGAACATCAGTTGCAACATTTTCACCTTGGATCTCTTCCTGGACACTTCTAGCCAATAGGAATACAGCAGGCACCTGTTCCAATTAACCTAAGTGCACCAGATACAGATGGTAACTCGTCAGCTGCATCATTAAAATATAGCGCAAAGCACCCCTCTAACTCCAGTTACTGCCATTCTGCCATTCCGGCTAATGCAGTCATGTCCTGATGCTGCAGAATGCTTTCAAAACAAAACAAAACAATACCCTGGACAAAAGGTGACAGGCTCACTTGGAGAATGGGCATTTTACTCCATCCCCAGGGAAACCTCTGGCTGGAGGCAACTGCCAATAGCTAAGCAGGTGAATCTGAGAATCAATGGAGAGATTAAAACAACGAGGAGTCCTTGTGGCACCTTAGAGACTAACAAATTTATTTGGGCATAAGCTTTGGTGGGCTACAACCCACTTCATCAGATGCATGGAGTGGAAAATACAGGAGCAGGTATAAATACATGAAAGGATGGGAGTTGCCTTACCAAGTGTGAGGTCAGTCTAATGAGACAATTCAATTAACAGCAGGATACCAGGGGAGGAAAAATAACTTTTGAAGTGGTAATGAGAGTGGCCCATTACAGACAGTTGACAAGAAGGTGTGAGTAACAGTAGGGGGAAATTAGTATTGGGGAAATTTGGTTTAGGTTTTGTAATGACCCAACCACTCCCAGTCTTTATTCAGGCCTAATCTGATTGTGTCCAGTTTGCAAATTAATTCCAGTTCTCCAGTTTCACGTTGGAGTCTGTTTTTGAAGGGTTTTTTTTGTTGAAGAATTGCCACTTTTAGGTCTGTTATTGAGTGACCAGAGAGATTGAAGTGTTCTCCGACTGGTTTTTGAATGTTATGATGCCTGATGTCCGATTTGTGTCCATTTATTCTTTTGCGTAGAGACTGTCCAGTTTGGCCAATGTACATGGCAGAGGGGCATGACTGTTTAAATACACTTTCTCTGTGCCTGGGTCTATGAGGTTTCCAGTATCCAGGTCTAGCACAGAATTCTGTAGTAGGCACGTCTCACGGGGCATGGGAAGAATATTTTGCCATGGTTTGCTTTCAAGGAGTATCGCAATACTGTGCTTTAGGCTCTCAGCTCTACTCAGTGAGTAAACACACTGGAAAGAATATTTTATCTTCCCAGCTAGGACAGGCTGTCTGGTTTGAAGTGAAATAACAATATAGTGCTCTGCACCGATATATAGTCCCTTCCACCACCCCCACAACACAGCACAAACATGGATACAACCTCAGAACCCCACCAGAGGGGGGGGGGGTAACCTCCCTATGTAGGACTGGGTCCTGCTTCCATTGAGGTAAATGGTAAAACTGCCTTTGATTTCCTTAATGCAGGATCATGCCCCTGGACATGAGGAAAGATAGGCAACAAATGGTGTGATAGTTGGTGCATCAGCCTCACTTCTATTAGAAATGTCTGCTCTTTGGCCAAACTGTTCTCTTGCATGCTCATGATCTTAGTTTAAAATATTGCATTTGAATTCAGCCGAATTTGGCATTTAAACAATCGTCACAGTAGCAAATCCAAAAACCCTGTCATGTATTTTTTGGTCAATTGGACAATTTGTTCTGGGATTCAAATACACCGTAAAAGGCACAGACGCTCATTTATAAATATTGTTTCCTCCGATTGTTTTATTTGTATTAAAATGGCTGAATCTAGAGCAATTCCTTGACATTAATAGTCATAAAATAAGTAGCAGAAAAGTCCCATTCTTTAAATAAAAAGCAGCACATCAATTAATTTTATCACCATAAAACCCCTATATTTTTATTCTCAAGAGAAAACATACTTTTAAATGGAGAACCGATACAATTCAGCAGTCTTACTATGTGAATTTTGTTGCTGGTAAATGATTTATTCCTTATCAGAGGACAGAAATGTTATCCGATCTATGCGAGCAACTAAAAAGCAGAGGACATGCTAGGTTTAAAATGAACCAACCTGTACATTCGGCACTGAGAAGAGATCCAAGAAGACCAGTGATGATCATGAGAGAGATTTTTGCCATTTTTGTGTACCACGCAATCCTTTTGCTAATGGATTGTGCAAGTATAGAGAAGCTGGATCGATGGTTCCAAAGTACAGGCCCTTGTTTGTTTACTTTGGGTAACCCTTTAATTTAAGGTTCCCAAATGTGCATTTGACGAGGATTCTCTGAAATGGTAGCTTGGATGTGAAAGGAGGAGTAACCACCCCACCCTTGCACAGGATAAACCTATTGCATAGTTTCAAACCCCAAGAAATATTGTGGGCCAGGTTAGGTGGGTTTATATTTGCTGTTGCCCATGTAAAAAAACAGCCACAGAGCCCAAGTTCCAGAACCAGTGGCAGATTAACGCATGGGCCCACAGGGCCCGTGCCCAGGGCTGCCCAGGACAGATAGAAGGTCCAGGGCTCCCCACAGTGGCCTGGGCTCCCTGGGCGCCTCTTACCACAGCCCAGCTCCGGCTTCCAGCCTGGCCAGGGGGCACAGGGCCGGATTAACGCAGGGGCTTTAGGGGCTGCTGCCCGGGACCCCGGCGAAACAGGGCTCAGGCAGGCTGCCTGCATGCCGTGGCCCCACGCTGCTCCTGCAAGTGGCCGGCTGCTGGCACATCTCTGCAGCCCCTGGCGGGGGGAAGGGGAGGCAGCTCCGCGCGCTGCCCCCACCCCCAGTACCATCCCCATAGTTCCCATTAACGCTTGTGGGGATGGTGTTTGCAGGCCTGGGCAGCGCACGAAGACATGCTGTCCCCCTCCCCTAAGGGGCATGCAGAGACGTGCCAGCAACCAGCTGCTTTTGGGAGCGGCGTGGGGCTATGGCATGTAGGCAGGCAGCCTGCCTGAGCCCTGCTGTGCCGCCGGCCGGGAACCACCTGTGGTAAACGCCTCCCTGCCGGAGCTTGCACCTCGCACCCCCTCTCACACCCTAACACTCTGCCCCAGCCTGGAGCCCCCTCCTGCACCCAAACTCCCTCCCAGAGCCCACACCCCTCACCCTGCCCCAGCCTGGAGCCCTTACACCCAAACTCCCTCCCAGAGCCCACACCCCTCACCCTCTCCTGCACCCCAACACTCTGCCCCAGCCTGGAGCCCCCTCCTGCACCAAACTCTCTCCCAGAGCCCACACCCCTCACCCTCTCCTGCACCCCAACACTCTGCCCCAGCCTGGAGCCCCTGCACCCAAACTCCCTCCCAGAAAGCAACTAATATAACAGCTGTTCTAAGGTAAGAAGTCGGCTCTTTTGAATTAACTATATTCTACATGTTTTGAGACTGAAATGTAACCACAGAACGGCTTTATGTTAATTAAAAGGCAAGTTTAGTATAGGGTTAATAGCCTCGATGCCATAATTGTGATCGTTTTGTTTTAAATTAGGAAAAAGACTTGTATACAGGGGCCCCACAAAATCTAATAGCCCTGGGCCCACAGGAGAGTTAATCCAGCCCTAAGGGGGCAGGGTCTTGGGGGGGAAGGAGAGGAGCAGGGGGCAGGGCCCCATGGTGAGGGGGAATGAGGGGGGAGGGGAATGTTCTTTGTGACCAGGGCCCCAATAAATCTTAATCTGCCTCTGACCAGAACATCAGCTGGGGTGAGCTGATAATGCCACAAACTCCTCTGTGCTGGCAGACCTGTAGAGGTCAGCGCAAGCCACAAAGGGGATGGTGCCTCGCCAAGGAATCTCCACTGGGTCCTGATTCAGAACCTCTTGAAGTCCAGGGAAGTCCCTTTAACTGACAGTGGGGTTTGAATGGTGCGCTTAATGCAGCCCTCCACAGTGGAAAATCTTAAGGATTTCTCTTTGTTTCACCCCAATTCCTTTCTCATCCCTCCATCCCCCGTGAGTTATTGCAGGCGGCCATACTGACACCAGGCAGTATAATTTGCACTGGCTTTCTGTGCATCCAGCCCCAGTCAATTGTTTAGTAACATGAGCACTGTGTTTCTGGGGTTCTGTACAGTAAGAATGTGTATTCAGGGAAGCTTGCTGTAATGCAAACATGAGAAACTGAGTCAAGCCCAGAGGTGTGTACTAAATGCCCCCAACTAACCAGGTAGAGCAACACCTACTGAAAACTTTGAAACAAAGAGTGAGATTTTTCAGCCCCGTCTGGGTAAAAGGGTCCGGGGATTGAAGTCCATGGCAAAATTCCTAGTGACTTTATGGGGCCAGAATTTCACCCTGGAGCAACATAAAGGGGCTCTATAAACACCAGTTCCATCCAGAACAGGACTCCCCTGGTGCAGGCACTGTAGAGGACTGCTGTAAGACTGCTTTCCAAGGACCCCCGCAAAAGCCCTGGCGTAGGCCAGGAGCAGGGCTGGAGATGGGAGGGGTGTATTGGGGTCAGGGACAAGTTAGCGGGACAGCACAGTCTTACTCAAAGTATCTAAATAGGAATACATGTCAAAGTAGGGTGACCAGACAGCAAGTGTGAAAAATCGGGACAGGGGGTGGGAGGTAATAGGAGCCTATATAAGAAAAAAAAACCAAAATCGGGACTGTCCCTATAAAATCGGCACATCTGGTGACCCTATGTCAAAGGGGATTGAATGTGATCTTTAGGCCCCTTTCTGTTAGTGCAGAACCCTGCAGCCATGTGGAATCCGGTTGATTTTCCAGATTGCAGGGCCTTGATCAGTAATTGGTTCCTTGTCCTGGGACCATATATACGCTTATCTTAACTGAGCTGATAGTATTGTTAAACGGAGTTGTAATCTAATACACTGCCAATCAAATAGCCTGCCTTTTAAGAGCTACAGTCTTCTCTTTTTACCCAGGAGACCCTTATTCTGACCTACCTTTCTGCCAGGAGTTTGCCCCCCAGAATAGATGACTAATGTGCTCCTGATTAACACTACAGAATCAGGTCTCATAATTGTGGCACCAAGTACTGGTATAAGTACTGGTTATTCCCCTCTATTTGGCACTGTTGAGGCCACACCTGGAGTATTGCATCCAGTTTGGTTCCCCAACTACAGAAAGGATGTGGACAAATTGAAGAGAGTCCAGTGGAGGGCAACAAAAATGATTAGGGGGCTGGGGCACATGACTTACGAGGAGAGGCTGAGGGAACTGGGGTTATTTAGTCTGCAGAAGAGAAGAGTGAAGGGGGATTTGATAGCAGCCTTCAACTACCTGAAGGGGGGTTCCAAAGAGATGGAGCTCGGCTGTTCTCAATGGTGGCAGATGACAGAACAAGAAGCAATGGTCTCAAGTTGCAGTGGGGAAAGGTCTAGATTGGATATTAGGAAACACTATTTCACTAGGAGGGCAGTGAAGCACTGGAATGGGTTACCTAAGGAGGTGGTGGAATCTCCATCCTTAGAGGTTTTTAAGGCCTGGCTTGACAAAGCCCTGGCTGGGATGATTTAGCTGATGCTGGTCCTGCTTTGAGCAGGGGGTTGGACTAGATGACCTCCTGAGGTCTCTTCCAATCCTAATCTTCTATGATTCTATGATCAGAGATCCCGCTTTAAATGAGAATATCTGTGCTGGAATGAATAATAGACTTAACTGGCAACTGTAAAAGATGTCCAAACCTAAAGATTTTAAATCAGGATTACATTTTAAAGAATATGTTTGTTATGTGGGGCTATTACCTCTCTGTATTAACTCTAATAACTTTGCTAGAAGAGAGGAAGAGCTGCGACTTTTCCTTTGATGACTTCTGAAGGCAGATGAGCTTTGGCAAGCAACCCCGGGTCTTTGCAAAGCAAGATGGATATTCTATTATTGTAATTGTTACAGAATTCTGGAGAGCATTTCACAGAGTAATAAGCACTCACAAACAGGCTAACTGGATTCCATGTGGAATAGAATATGGATGCACCGGTATGGCGGAGGCTGGAGAATGACCTCTCACTTGCTATGCGGTTATAATGGCCCTTGGGTTGTTGTAAAAGTGTTTGAGTTTATGAACCGTGAATGCTGTGCTCTGTGTCCAAAAAATTAAAAATGTTCCTTCCTGCAGCTGATGTGAGAGACATTTACGGTTGTGGAGGTATTTTGGAGTCACTTTTTGAATAAGGGGAGAACCGATAAGCTGCAGATTAAAACAAGAGGCGCTAAAATTGAGTTATGGGTTTGTAAAATCTGTTGCCCTTTGCCAGCAAAGATCATTTATTTTTTGAGACGTGACATTTCATCTCATTTGGTTTTGCAGTATTTGAAATTGTTTGTGTTTGACATAGCCGGTAGGGTTTCCAAGGGACCATTATCAAATTTCCGCTCTAGATAGATGAGTTAAGATGTGTTAATGTGTTTGTGATGTAAATTGAATGCAAAGTAGAGAGGGTAATAATCGTCACTCATTGTCTGTGTATAAGAACATGAAAATGTGGGAAAATAAGAGAAGCAAATTGGTATAAAACAGTGAAACAATACGAGTTGCACAGATAAAAGGAATGTGCAGAATAGCCAACTCTAACAAACAAAGGACAATTAGAGTCTCATTATTTTCAAGGTTTTTTAATAAGAACATAGTTCTGTCAAATTATTTTGGTTTATGGTGCATGTTTCAGTTCTAATAATATTTGCAACATTAATGCTAATTAATCTCCACAGAAAATGCCATCATCATTAGAATAAGCAAGGCCATTAATCTAAGCCATTTTATAAATCCATAGCAACTACTATCAATTATTGTGGCACCAAATGAAAATAATGAATTTATCTTTTATTTATTTCATTTGCAAACAAAATCCCCAGTACTGGGATTTGCACGACACCATAAATACTTTGGAGAGCGAAGCGTTGTTGTTCTGTTAGATCTCAGCAATGAAATATTGATCCGGCTTAATTTTGACTTAAAATGGTCAAGTTCTCAAAGGGGGTCTACTTAAAATTCAGAATTAACTTCAGTGCTCTCCCATAACTGAGATCTCTGTAACAATTACAGCTGACCGGAGGACAATCATTCCATTTCGTGGCAACTTTTGAGGCTTCAAAATTTGTTTTTGTTCCACACTGGAATGAAAACAAAATCTTGTGAAGGTTTTCATGAAACAGAATTGGGTCAAAACATCCACTTTTGAATCAAAAAGCTCAGGTTTTTGATTCAGGTCTCTCT